TTGTCACTTAAAGAGAATGGCTCGGGTTTGGGAAACTCCCTAACATCCTTAGCCATGAAGACCTTATTGTCTTTGAGTGCTTCTTTAGCATCTTGACCGTTCAGTGGCCCCACTGATTGTTTAGGAATATAAACAGTCATATAAACATTTCTGATATACTTAATAGTAATTTTTCTATTACTTTTTGATTTTTTTTGACTAGCTATTCTTCAGACTCCTTTTTGGCTCTCATTTTTTTTACACTTAATTTGACAGAGTTTATGCTCCTTTCTATTTTCATCACTGGGAAATAACTTCCATTTTTTTTAAATGATGCCTTTTTTATCTCTCATGGCTTCTTTTACTTGTTTTTTAAGCCACTGTGGCACTTTTTTGGTTCTCAACAAAAATTTGGGATGTAAGGTGGATCTCTATTATGGTGTCTTTGAAAAGTTTCCATGCAGCTTGCAGGGATTTTACTTCTGGCACTGTACCTTTTAATTTCTGTTTAACTAACCTTCTCATTTTTGTGTCGTTAACCTTTCTGAAATTAAATGCCACACTGAAATTTCCCACTACAAGGCTATTACATTTTATTACATTATGGTCACTGTTTTCAAGCAATCAATTACATTTACCTCTTGGCCCAGATCCTGTGTTCCACTTAGGACTAAATCAAGAATTTCCTCTTGTGTGTTTCATAATCAGCTGCTCCAAGAAGCAGTCATTTAAGGTGTCAAAAAACTTTATCTCTACATCCCATCCTGAGGTGATGTGTACCCAGTCAGTGTGGGGATAGCAGAAATCCCCCACTATTATTGAGTTTTTTAAATTTGTGTAGCCTCTCTAATCTTTCTATTTCATAGTCATTATCACTATCCTGATCAGGTGGTCGATAATATATCCTTACTGCTATATTCTTATCAGAGCTTGAAATTACTATTCATGGAGATTCTGTGGAATATTTTGGTTCATTTAAGCTTTTTTTCTTCATTTGATTCTACATTTTCTTTCACATATAGTGCCACTTCCCCACCAGCACGACCTGTTCTGTCCTTCCGATATATTTTGTACCCTAGTATGACTGTGTCTCATTGATTGTACTCATTCCACCAAGTTTCTGTGATTCCTATTATATCAACATCATCCTTTAATACAAGGCACTCTAATTCACTCATCTTATTATCCTTTTTTCTTCTCTTAGGTGTGTGGAATAAAATAATCCTGATTTCCATGCTAGATTCTGGTTTAGGTAACACTGCTTATCCTGTGACAGTGGTCATCAACTTGTTGCTCGTGATCTACAGGTAGATCAGGCACCTATGCCAGTAGAGTGTGATCCTGAAGAAGGCTGTCTCTGCTTGCCTCATGCTGCTCCTGAAAGCAGCCATCGGGGTGGAAGTAGTTTCTGCAGCCCTTGTGGGGGAAGATGGGGGCAGCTCTTTGCTGCTTCTGATGCCAGTGCTGTAAATGGAGCGTCCATTGGCTGGGAACTGACAAATGAGGGCTGCACTTGCAGGCTCCGGGCAGCAGTGTAGCACATGGAGACCCCCTTTCCTCTTCTGCCTCCAGGGGCCGGCCGCAAAGAGAGGGTGCCTGAACTCAGCTAACCAGTGTTTCCAGGAACAGCGTGGGGCCAGGCAGAGGCAGCTTGCCTTAGCCCCACTGTGTTGCTGAGCCAGGAGCCACCTGTAATAAATGCTCCCCAGCTGCATTCTGCAGCCATATCCCCAGCTCTGAGCTAGCCCCCAAACTCCCTCCCAGAGCCTTCACTCTGTACAGCACACAACACTCTGCCCCAGCCTGGACCTACCTCCTGCACTCAAGCTCCCTTCCATAGCATTGGGGTGGAGGAGGTAGTGGAGGCCTTGGGTTTTGAGAGGGAGTTTGGGTGCAGGAAGGGACGCCAGGCTGGAGCAAACTTCTTCCCTGAGTTTTCACTCCTTCCTCCTGCACCCCAAAACTCTGCACCATTTGGAGCTTCTTCCTGCATCCAAATTCCCTTTCAGAGCCTGCAACCTACACTTCCTCCAGCATCCCAGCATTTGATCCTATCTAGATGAAAGTTAATGAGGGTGGAGAGTGGAGTAGGCAGGGCTTTGGAGAAGGGATGTGGCCTCAGGGACAGGAGGAGGGAGGGCAAGGTAGATCCTGAGTTGCCTTTAAACTTAAAAAATTATCTGTAGCATAAAAAGGTTGGAGACCTTACTGACAACAAGCAGCAGGGTCTGGGTTTTACACTGTATTTTTAAGATGACATCTCCAGCAGCCTAACAACATGTGTGAGAACCTCTTCAGACTTGCATATTGTCAACTCAGTTTAGACTGTTTTAATTAAAACTGGTTTATATGAGCAATGATCTAGCAGCAGTTTTGACATTGTTGTATAATGATAATGCTGGCCAGAGAATAGTCCCTGATTTTGCAAAAAATGTAAACTCTTTAATACTCTTTAACAAAGTGTACAACATACAGTTTGTATATTATAAAAATCTATTAAAATTGGGAGGAATCTTGCAAGTCTGTTCAAAGTAGGGAGGCTGGAAATAATTGTTCAGAAATGTTTCCATTAGTCTTTAAGTATTCATTAGATATTGAATGCTGATCCTGTCCTAGTCTGAAAAGTGCCTGAAAAACTAGCGTTTCATGTGTATTGCCTCTCTACCTGGGCACTGAGCCTCTGTGTTACAAAATCAAAGTTGTTCTCTACCAGTTCTGCAATTTTAGATCCAAAGATTGGATTCTTCTCCCATTGTATGTCAATACGAGACTGATGTAAATCTATTAACGTCACTAGAGTTGTTTCTTATTTCCCCTAGCAGATGAGAAAATCAGGCCCTAGGAGGCAATCTCTCTTTCAATCACAATCAATGTAAAAGTGACTCTGGAGGCAAAAGTGACTCTGGAGGCAAAATGAGGTGCTCATTGACAACTGTGCAAGTCCATTGTCATTAATAGGGTTTCTGCATGTGATTTGGTCATAATGAATAATTCTGTTGAAGCAAAAGAAACCAGTTCACTCACTGCTGTATTTGCAGTTCCAACAAGCAAAATCTTGTGTTTCAACCAAAATTCAAACCTGTTTTTTTTTTGTTTTGTTTTACTTTTTCAGCTAGAACTGTAGTTTGAAATTTTAGCTTCATTTTTTAACTCAGTTCACCTTCATCACTAAGAAACCTGATAAGCTTGTGTTCCTATATGTGATTTTTATCCTTAAGATAGCTGGTTCACCTTATCTCAAGACAGTTCATTTCTTGTAGTTACACATTCACAACAACATTATCATTAAATTAAACTTCAGTGTTGTCTTTTCTGCTTTATTAATCATGCATATCCACCAAACTTCATCAAAATAGCTTTTACCTGAGCTGTGCAACATTTTATATGTCTTAGGAGTTTCTTCCAAAGGTGTATAATGTTGAGCTACATTATTTTTTTCCTGATAACAAGCCATGAAGACCTGCATTCAGAGCCTTTGTTTGTGACTGATTACAGTGCTTTGAGCCTTATTTATTTCAGCCCCCTTTTATTTTGCAGCATCTGGAGGCACATCATCATAAAAGAGTAGACTTCACTTGTACAAGACTTCCCCGGAGGTGGATGTCTCACCCTGATTTAGGGCAGTTTTCACCTCAGTGTGTCACTTAAGAGAAATTAATTGTTCCAGAGCTACTCTGCCTGACCACAAATGCATGCGCTAGGCTGCTCCCCTGCCCTACTGTAGCTTAGCTATCCAGTTGTCCCAAAGGCTAGGGAAAAAACTGTTTGGTTTGAACTCTGGCTTTGCAGGTTTAACTTTCTGTGTGGTTCCCTCTGCCCCCCTCCCTGCCCCAAGCATCAAAAGGAAAAAAAAAATCCAAAACTTCCAATAGCAAAAGAGGAAAACAAAGTGTCCTTTTAAAATCCCGAGGTCTCTGTTCCTGATTCAAAATGATCCCATCAGCACAGCGCTGGGGTGTCTGTAGATATAGACTGAGCCCCTAAAAAAGTCTCAAGAATAGGATTAGACATGGAGGCCTGTTTAGCCTTGCTGCGGGTGACCATTCCCACCTTCTTAGCATGGTTGACTGTCCTCTCCCACCAGCATAGGAATGGGATAATCTTCATAGACTGCAAAAGTCCAAAGTACATAACAGGCAATGTGTCTGTTGGCAAGTCAAGAGTCTTCCCTCAAGAGTTGAAAAGTTACTTGCGCTTCTGGGTTGATGAATTTGGGGTCTACTTGTGACCGGTGGATTGTGAACATGTGTCTCCACGCAAAAATTTCTTCCTGCCCACACTCATAGCTTCCCTTCACTCTGGGGGTATCTGAGAGGCATCTGGACCTAAGGACTCTTGTTGGGACCGCAGTGCAATGCACTGCACTCTGCTGGTGCTCTTGGGGCTTCCCCTGCCCTTTGTGACATCATCCATTAAAAACATATACTCTGTGGGAAAATGTCAGATTTAAAATGTTATAAATACATATTAACACTTATTTTATATGCATTGTAATGCTCCTTTCTCTTTCTTGGTGCACTGGGGGGAGGGGGGAGAGTCACGCTTTACCTTGAGGTATGTCTACACTGCAGGGGTTTTCCGGGATACCAGAGGATGCATCTGCTCTTCCACTTCCTTTTGCGGAAAAGCAGACATGCTCTTTCGGAAGCCCTGTCTTCCTCCGCCTTGGAGGAAGAAGGGCGCTTCCGAAAGAGAAGGGTTTTTCCAAAATTTGGCCGAGTGTACTTGGGCCAAATTTCGGAAAAGTCTCTTCAGAAAAAAACTGTTGGAAAAAGGTATGTAAATTGCAGCGCGCAATTAGCGTACCTTTTTCTGATACATCAGTGTAGTATAGACATAGCCTGAAGAGCACATATTGACAAAGACTGAGAGTATTTTGTACAACTTCTTTAAATTATCAGGAGTCCTGAAAATATCATGTAAGCTGCTACAGCACTTTGTTAAAAATGTGAATTGCTATGTAAGTGAATTTGCAAACTTTTATTGCTGTAAAGTTGTTGAATGTGGCATCATTTTCATAGGTTAAACCCATGAATGTAGAGTATTTGATGATGGATGCCTCCATTCTGCTGCCTCCAACGGGGACACCACTAACTGGTATTGATTTCGTGAAAAGACTGCCATGTGGAGATGTGGAAAGAACACGAAGAGTGAGTGAGCCTACTTTTCTTAAATCCTTTGGTGAAATGACTCTTAAGACTTTCCTAAATAGACAGGTGTCTTCACATTCCATAGGAAAAACACCATTCCAGCATGAAGCACCAATTGTATTGGCCAGAATACCAGAAATTACATCATAGAATCAAAATTAAAAATGCGGGGCGGAGGGGGGGGAAACCTAGTTAAGTCACCTAGTTCATATCCCATTCAGTGCAGAATTAGTTTTTCTAAAGTTATTCTTGTATATAGTAACTTTAATTTGTATTTAGGAAAAGGGATTTTCTCTGCTTTACTTGGAGGAGTTCCATTGTCAAGGTGTATCCCCACCTTCTCCATATCCACAGAGCCATTTATCTCATCGTAGAAGGCAGTAGGATTGGAAAAGGTTCAGAAAAGGGCAACAAAAATGACTTGTCATTGGTGAATCCATTTTGAGTATTTCTGACCACTTTATTCTCTTCCAAATGCTTTAAAATGGATTCATTTCCAGACTCTTTTCAAAAATGTTAAAGAAAACTTTGATATTCCAAAGGAAATATCTTTATAAAAGTTTAAGGCTGTTTTCTTGCTGTCAAAACTCACTTTCATTAATGTGCTTTCTGGTGAATGACAGGAGCAAAGGATTCAGCTCAGTACCATATGACTGGAAGGTAGCAATACAATGCTGATTTTTTAAAAAGGGCTCTATAGGAGATCGTGGCATTTATAGGCTGCTGAGCCTAACGTCAGTACCAGGCAACTTGGTAGAAAGTTCAGTAAAGAATAGAATTATCAGACACTGATAAATATTAATTTTTTATTTTATTTTATTTTATTTTATTTTATTTCGGGGGAAAGATTCAAGCCAGCTTTTATAATGGCAAGTCATGTTTTCCTAATTTGTTATTGTTTGATGGAGTCCTCAATCATGTGGCTAAGAGTGATCCACTCAATATAGCTTACTTGACCTTCACAGAGGAGTTGAAATATCACTTATTTAAAGCATCCTTGAACATACTGTGTAAGATTCCATAAAGCCAGAATGAGGGAGGGTGCTCAGAACTTGAATAAGCCACACTAGCTGTTCACAGATGGCTTTAATTTTCACTACAGCTCTGGTCTATTAATGTTTTATATTAAATGGTAGCTGCAGAAAAGATAAAGAAATATGAGCTCTTAGTTGGCTTTTCATATGTATATTCCTGGAAATACATCCCACTGTGTATGGCTGTTTAACAAAAACTCTCTCACTACCAATTTGAGCACTTGTATTGTATTTTAAACTTTGAATTTTTGGAGTGGGGAAAAATGGTTGGAGGCCTTTTCTAATAAAACATTAATTGGAGTGCTTATAAAATTATTGAACATTAAAACACATAACAGTAACCTTTTTAAAAACATTAAGACTTTTGAACTCCTTGTTTAAAATGCAATGAACTTTCTGGAACATAGTACCTTATTTTTCCTCTTCGAGTGGTCCCTGTGGGTGCTCCGCTCATGGTGTTGGGCTCGTCCCGACGCCGCAGCTTGGAGGCTTTGCATAGCTGTTTTCAGCCGGGTGCGCCATGGAGCTTCTTGTCTCTCTCCTCACAGCAGTTCTCCTTCCTTCAGGGAACCTGTAGTTAGTTAATTGTATACTTAGCTTCATTTGTTGCCAGTTTTATCTTATCTACAAAACAAACAAACAAGGGTTCCTGTTAATGCTTCAGCTCCCTGCTATTATGAGCCGGGGATCAGCTGTGGAGTAAAAAAAACAAAAAACAAACTTGTTCTGTGGGAAGAAACTGATTAACAGTCATGCCTGGATCTCCAGGTTTTAAAAAGTGTGCCCACTGCAGTGAGCCAATGCCAATTTCTGATGGGCATTCACTTTGAGTACGTTGCCTGGGGGAGCCTCGTTGTGACAGGGAAGTGCGGCTAAAAATGTTCTTCCTTATTAAGGCACTGGACCCCAATGCGGGAACTCCTGAGCAACGGGGGAGAATCCCTAAGAGAAGAATCTCTTCCCTTGATTTGCGGGAGAAAAAGAAAAAAACCTTCCCAGCTAGATCCCTTCCACCTGAAATAATGGTGGGGGGCAAACATGGATCCTCTGGCTCTGTCCCGCGAGCCTCACCATCTGGTTTGGGGGCAAAGGGATGGAAGGCTCCGGTGCCCAGGAGTCCATATTCTGGGCCAGAAGCAGCCTTGGTGCTGGCAAGTGTAACCTATCTGAAAAAGGCGCCGGCACCACACCGCTCCTCTTCAAAAGCCCGGGACAAAGCTGGGTGGGCAGTGGCGGCGCCGCAAGAAACTCTCATGGCACCAGCAACTCATAGACTCATAGACTTTAAGGTCAGAAGGGACCATTATGATCATCTAGTCTGACCCCCTGCACAGTGCAGGCCACAGAATCTCGCCCACCCCTCTTAGAATAATCCTCTCACCTATGTCTCAGATATTGAAGCCTTCAAATACTTTGAAGGCCCCAACATGCAGAGAGTCCTTCAGCTGTGATCTGTGCCCAATGCTACAGAGGAAGGCGAAAAACCTCCAGGGCCTCTGCCAATCTACCCTGGAGGAAAATTCCTTCCTGACCCCAAATATGGCGATCAGCTAAACCCTGAGCATGTGGGCAAGACTCACCAGCCAGACACCCAGAAAGTTCCCTATAATGAATGGTCAATTAGTTACCAAGATCATGTTATTTCATCCAACCATCCCCTTATCATAGAATCATAGAACTGGAAGAGACCTCAGAAGGTCGTCAAGTCCAGCCCTCCGCTCTAGGCAGGACCAATCCCATCTAAATCACCCCGGCCAGGGCTTTGTCAAGCCGAGACTTAAACACCTCTAGGGATGGAGACTCCACTACTTCCCTAGGTAACCCATTCCAATGCTTCACTACCCTCCTAGTAAAATAGTTTTTCCTAATATCCAATCTGGCCCTCTCCTGAGCTGACAGCGTTGCCGGCGCAGAAGGCAGATGTGGTGCGGACAAGCAGCATGCACACTTTGAATGCGCTGGCACCGCTTTCTTCCCCCAGCAAGTGGCTGCAGAGCAGTGCACGATCGCGGATATGCTGCCAGCACCGGGGGGAACCCCTCTGGCACCGGCATCTCGCCAACCAATGTCGCAGGTGCCACATGGGGCTTCTCAATTACAACCAGCCCCGGCACCGGTATATACAACGCAGCAACAGCTGACGGACGTACTGGCACAGGAGCAGGAGCCAGAGATGCAGCCCCAAGCAGCGGCACCATTCATAGCACAGGGACAGGGTACTCACCTCTCTCCTTCCCTGAGATTTTCACTGGGTCCCTCTCTTTCTCCTACGGTTTATGGCTCACCTTCACACCATGGCTACCGGTACCTCAGCCCCAGGCATCCTACCTATTATAGACAAGATTCTCCATATGGGCGCCCTCATTGCAGGGGCTATTATAGACACCCATCCTACTCTCCATCATATGGACAGTCGTATTACTACTCTCCGCCCATTAGGCACAAGAGACGGCATAACAGCAATAGATCGTCCAGGTGTTCGTCTCCTCATCCATCAAATCAGTATTACGAGTACCACTGCTCTTCTCCGTACTCATGCTACAACCCGCCATCAGCGAGGCACTCTCCGCCACACCAGCACTGTGACCGTCACCTGGTGTCCCCATTACGCAGCCAGCCTGGTACAATGCAGCAGTCAGACCTGGAAGAGGGTCAGTTGTCTGAAGAGGATGACCATCAGTCTGAAAACCCAATTCCTGACGGTTCACCCTCATCTTCTCATGGGGCAGTTTCCTCACCGGACACGTCCCCACCAGATAACAGAACAACAACAACGCACTCATCTCTTTCACCATCGACTTCGACCCTTTCAAAACCAATGGACGGCAATTACATCAGACCGCTGGGTATTGCAACTGGTGGTATTTGGGCTCACCATCCCCTTCACTACCATACCACCCACCCACAAATCCACCAACCCCGTCCCTTTTCAGGGACCCCTTTCACGAGAGCCGTTTGAAATAAGAAGCTCAGCGTTTGCTCTCCATAGGGGCCATAGAGCCCGTAACTCCTCAGTTCAGAGGACGGGGCTTCTATTCACGGTATTTTCTAACAGAGAAGAAGACTGGAGGATGGAGGCCGATCCTTGACCTCAGGAAGTTAAACAAATACCTACGCCGTCAAAGGTTCAAGATGGTGACCCTTGCCAAGATACTACTGTCACTAGAGAAGGACAATTGGTTTGCAGCCCTCGACCTGCAAGACGCCTATTTTCATATAGCCATACATCCAGCTCACAGGCGTTTTCTCCGTTTCACTATCGGCGATGATCATTTCCAATATCGAGTGCAACCATTTGGACTTGCATTTGCTCCCAGAGTGTTTTCAAAAACCTTGGCAATAGTAGCAGCTCACTTGTGGCGCAGAGACGTGATCATATTTCCATATTTAGATGACTGCCTCATAAAAGGGAGGTCCAGACAAGAAGTCCAACGCATGGTGGCATTAGTCAGACAGACATTTCTATTGCTTGGGTTCATAATCAACGAGCAAAAGTCGTCTCCATATCCTATACGTTTCATAGGCGCACATCTCGATTACACCACGGCCCGTGCATACTTATCTCGAGCGCTTCCAACTTCTACGGGAACTGGCCACTGTAGTCATCCATGCACCTATGGTCACTGTACTTACCTGTCTCCGCCTTATGGGGCATATGGCTGCCACCACCTTTGTGGTTCAACACGCAAGACTTCATTTTTGTTTTCTCCAAAATTGGTTGCCTTCGGTGTACATTCCAACAAGGCACTCCATGTATAAAGTGATAACCCCAACTCCTCTAGTTCGCAGATCCCTGGGTTGGTGGTTGCACCCGAAAAATCTGCTAGCAGGGGTTTCATTCAAATGTTAGCAGCCATCGATCCAGCTGACTACAGACGCCTCCCTCTTGGGCTGGGGGGCGCACACTGATGGTGCGTTCGTGCAGGGCAGATGGTCCATAGCGGACACACTTTCCCATATCAACCTCCTAGAGCTGAAAGCTATGTTTCTTGGCTGCAAACATTTTCCGTTCGCGTATAGCTGGTACAACCGTCCAAGTACTTACGGACAACATAGCAGCTATATATTATATCAATCAACAAGGAGGAGCACAATCACGAGGACTATGCACACAAGCAGTCCATCTATGGAACTTGGTGCATAAAAACCCGTACCACTCTGATAGCATCTTACTTATCAGGCACGAGCAATGTCATGGCGGATGCTCTAAGCAGAATTTTCCCTCAGGATCACGAGTGGGAAATTCGCCCCGATGTCTTGGACGACATCTTCCGAGCTTGGGGAATACCGCAAATAGATCTCTTTGCAACCTACAAACCCATAGCTGGTTCAGGGTAGAGGAGCAACTTTGTTCAGAAGCTGTAAAGTCAGTACAGTTGAACAGCAGGAGACAAACCACAAGAAACTCTTATTTGGCAAAATGAAAGAGATTCATTGCTTGGTGTGAGAGAGCTGACATCCAGCTGCACTCTGCACCAATGCATAAAATTCTTGATTACATCTTTTCCTTACACCAGGCAGGACTTTCAATTTCTACGCTAAAAGTTCATCTCTAAGGAATCACTGTCTTCCATACCACCAACAAAGGTCATTCAGTTTTTACTCACCCCATGACCAAAAGGCTGCTTAAGGGAATAGCTAATCTTAGACCCCCATGAAGACCCATTCCCCCTACTTGGAGCTTGGATTTGGTACTTGATGCATTAACCCTTACAGCCGCTAGCCACCATGTCCTTATCAATGCTCAACACAAAGGTAGTATTCTTGTTGGCTATTACATCTGCCCGCAGGGTGAGCGAACTGGCAGCATTAATGGCAACACCACCTTTCACAGTTTTTACCAAGGACTCAGTCACGTTACGTACCCATCCAGCCTTTATCCCTAAGGTTGCTATGCAATTTCATATCAACGAGCCAGTCATTTTGCCTGTCTTTTATCCAAAACTGCATGCTTCGAATCGAGACTCACTATTTCATACCCTCAATGTACGTCGAGTGTTGGCATTCTATATAGACAGAACACGGACCTGGCGTATGACGACCGTCTAATAGTGTCCATAGCGGATTGCTCTAAGGGCACTGCATTGTCTTCCCAGCGACTGTCCAACATCATAGTTTTGTGTATCACCATGTGCCACGCAATGCGCAATAAGCCCCTCCAGACTGTACCTAGAGCGCATTCCACTAGGGCAGTGGCAACATCCACTGCTTTTGCCAGAGGAGTTTCTCTTCCAGAAATCTGCAGAGCAGCCACATGGTCCTCGAGCTTGACCTTTATGTATCACTATGCAATAGTGCATAGATGGACTCCTGACTCTTCAGTGTCCTCAGCAGTGCTTTCAGTCATTGACAGACCTGAAGTCCAGGAACGCAACAAGAGCACTGCTACAAAGTCACTGTGAGTGGAGCACCCACGGGGACCACTCGAAGAGGAACGAGAAGTTACTCACCTTTGTGCAGTAATGATGGTTCCTCGAGATGGGTCCCCATGGGTGCTCCATGTCCCACCCTTCCTCCCCATTCCAGAGTTGTTTTGTTCTTTGTATCCTTACAGATACAGAACTATGAGAGGAACTGACAGGGAAGCCGGGTGCACGTGAAGATCAAAGGGCACGAACGGCGCGAGCATCCGGCTGAAAACCAGCTATGCAAAGCTCCGAGCTGCAGCGCCGGGGCGAGCCCGACACCATGAGTGGAGCACCCACAAGGACCCATCTCGAGGAACCATTGTTACTGCACGAAAGTGAGTAACTTCTTATTTTGTTTTATTGTTAAGTCCATTGTAACTGCTTTTTAATAAATAAATTGTTGTATGTAGTGGTGTTGTAGCTGTGTTGATCCCACTTTGTCTTTATAATAAACACATTAAGTATGTGAGCTTTCAGAATATTATTAACACTAAGTTATTCTTGCACGCATGTAGATACTGATTCTCTGCTTTTCTGTCTCTGGGGTCAGTGATATTCAAGCTAGTTAGCTTTACAACCCTTGCTCTGAAAGACTGATCCCAGTCACTTTGAGCATATATTTTTACATCGAACAATGACACTCCATCTATTAAATAAGCTGTAGTGCACCTGAAACTACCTTCTGCTTCAGTTCACTTGGAAGGTGTCAAGCTATTGTCTAACATGACGCTTGAGTGTGGTGCTTACTGACTTTCCCTCCTTTCATCCCTCCCCAGTTGTTGCTGAGGGTATCACCACAACAATATTCCTGGGTTAAAAGTACTCTAGAGAATTTGGGATTCCCAAGCGAGAATTTATAGTGCTACTAGCCATGCTACTAGTCCCGTCTCAAAAATAATTATAATAAAATAAAAAGTCTACTCTCTCAAACAAAAAGAATCATTCAAATTGATCCACACATTTAACAACTATCTTAACAACATTTAACAACTAGCCTTATGATCTTCAGTTGTAGAAGTATACCTTCACTATACGTTCTCTGCTGATTTCAAAGGATGGAAAATCCACAGTGTGCGCTTCTGCCTTGGTTTAGTTTTGTTGACAAATGGTACGCGAATGTACTTTTTAAGTTGAAACAGTTGACATACCACACTGCAATGTAATCAGTGGTCTTAAACATAGATGTATTTTATACAACTCTTTAAGTGCTTATTTCATTGTGCAGAGAGATTAGTATCTTTAGTCTAATGCAGAATAATTCAACAGTGTGTTTTTAATTTCTTTAGGCAATCAGAGTTTTCTTTATGCTCCGTTCACTATCACTTCATTTGCGAGATGAGCCAGAAACTCAGTTGCCACTGACAAGGGAAGAGGATCTAATAAAAAAAGATGATGTTCTTGACTTGAGTAAGTAGCTTCCTTCCCCAATTATTAAATACATATAATGGAAAGTTGCCTATTTCCTTTGTGGAACTGACAAAAAAATAGGTTTTTATTCTTCATGTAGCTGCATAATGACGACTGATGTCTTGGTACTAACTTTAGCTTCTGTTACAAGTCTGTTAGTCTGAATACATATCCCACCAGTAATAGATAAAAAGGGAAATCAAAATAGTAAATTAAGGGTTGTACCTAATTTATTTTTCCTTCGTTTGGTCCTTCACTAGAATTCCAGCTACTTCAACCCCTGAATAGGCTTTGCTAGTACAAACGCTGTTTGTCTTAACTAGTTGGACCTGAGAGGATGCATTTTGCTATTGTTCTCTTATGCTTTGGTTTTTCAATTCTGCCCTTCCAAAATGTGCACAACCAAAATTTAGACAGATAGAAAATAAATCCAACTATATCTGTGCTATCTTTTTGGAATCACTCTCTCTGTATCCCACTTTCCTTTTCACATTTCAGTATTAGCATTTAAAGATGGTAGTACACTGACTTTTTTTCTCCAATTGAACAGCACACCAACGTATAAGGTCTGAGGTAAATAGGGTGAAGTTTATTAAGGACAAATGTGAAGTACCCCACTTAGGAAGGAACAGTCAGTTTCATACATTCAGAATGGGAAACGACTGTCTAGAAAGGAGTACTGCAGAATGGGATCTAGGGATCATAGTGGACCACAAGCTAAATATGAGGCAACAGTGTGACACTGTTGCAAAAAAAGCAAACAAGATTCTGGGATGCATTAACAGGTGTGTTGTGAGCAAGACATGAGAAGTAATTCTTCCGCTGTACTCTGCGCTGATTAGGCCTCAATTGGAGTATTGTGTCCAGTTTTGGGTGCCACATTTCGAGAAAGATGTGAAGAAATTGGACAAGGTCCAGAGAAGAGCAACAAGAATGATTAACGGTCTAGAGAACATGACCCGTGAGAGAAGACGGAAAGAACTGGGCTTGTTTAGTTTGGAAAGGAGAAGACTGAGAGGGGACATGATAGCAGGTTTCAGGTATCTAAAAGGGTGTCACAAGGAAAAGGGAGAAAAATTGTTCTCCTTAGCCTCTGAGGACAGGATAAAAAGTGATGGCCTTAAACTGCAGCAAGAGAGATTTAGGTTGGACATTAGGAAAAAGTTCCTAACTGTCAGGGTCTTTAAACACTGGAATAAGTTGCCTAGGGAGGTTGTGGACTCTCTATCTCTGGAGATATTTAAGAGCAGGTTAGATAGACATCTATCAGGAATGGTTTAGATGGTACTGGGTCCTGCCCTGAGGGCAGGGAACTGGACTCAATGACCTTTCGAGGTCCCTTCCAATTCTAGTGTTCTATGATTCTATGATATTCTGAGGGGCTGTGTCTAGACTACATCCCTTTTCCGTAAAAGGGTTGCAAATTAGACACATGGCAATTGCAAATGAAGCGGGGATTTAATTCCCCCTCGCTTCATTTGCATAAAAATGGCTGCCGCTTTTTTCCGGCTCGGAGCTTTGCCAGAAAAAAGCGCCAGTCTAGACGTGGATCTTTCAGAAATGGCTTTATTTTCCGAAAGATCCGTGTCTAGACTGGCGCTTTTTTCCGGCAAAGCTCCGAGCCAGAAAAAAGCGGCAGCCCTGTTTATGCAAATGAAGTGGGGGGGATTTAAATCCCCGCTTCATTTGCAATTGCGATGTGTCTAATTTGCATCCTTTTTACGGAAAAGGGATGCAGTCTAGACACAGCGAGGGGGTTTAAAATCTGCAACTTCAGATTAGTGCAACATGCCCAAAGTATAGTCTCTAAGGATATGTCTACACTGCATTCCTCTTTCGAGAGAGGAATGCAAATGCAGACAAATGAAATTGCAAATAAAGCGCGGATTTGAATTTCCTGCGCTTCATTTGCATAAGTGCGTCTGACCACTTTTTCGAAATACCCTATTTTGAGCTAAAAACACTGTTTAGATGCCGTTATTTCAAGAAAAAACCCTTGTTTTGAAATAACCCTTAAACTTCATTTTGTAAGGGTTATTTCGAAAGAAGGTTTTTTTCAAAATAAGCCCATCTAGACTGCGTTTTATTCTTTCAAAATAAGGTGTTTCGAAAAAGCGGCTGGACACAATTATGCAAATGAAGCACGGGAAATTCAAATCTATACTTCATTTGCAATTTTCTTTGTCTGCATTTGCATTCCTCTCTCGAAAGAGAAATGCATTGTAGACATACCCTCAGCCTTACATGATGCCTATGTAGGAAGTTGAGAGTCAAGGTAGTCTCCATTTGCAATATCATTAGAATGAGACTTTCAAATTCTATTTAAGAAGCAGAAAACTGGGAGACATGTAGAAAATTAAAATTCGTTCTTTGCAGTAATTTGTGAACTAAACCTTAGGAACCATTGTTTAACTTGTTCAGAATGCTAAATGGGAAAGCTCACTATACAGTGAGGATTAATCCATTATAATTATATCCGTGCATTTTAGTTAATAAGGTTTCTGTATAAATCAAGTGAGATACTTGGAGTGATTCTGGCCTTAAGTCAGAGGCACAAACTGCAGGAAACTTACTTTGTGACTAAGTTTCAGAGGGGTAGTCGGGTTAGTCTGTAACTGGAAAAACTTAAAAAAAACCAATGAATAGTCTTGTAGCACCTTAGAGACTAACACGGAATGCAGATGGTATCCATCCTTTAACTCCATTCATCTGAAGAAGTGGGTTGTGCCCACAAAAGCTCAGGATACCATCTACATTTTTTGTTAGTTTCTAAGGTGCTGCAAGACTATTTTCTGTGACTACAATGCAGCATAAGAAAAGGAAACATAACATGTCTTTAATCTCATTTTTATAGTGTGGGGTGTATTTTTATTAAATAAAATAGCAGTGTGTGGGGAAATCTGATTTTTCCCCTTCTATTATGCAAAAATATAATAAAAATGTAATACATTGCATTTACCTATCAATTTTAATTGATTAAAGTTAGCCAGTTGAGCTCTTAACTAATAGTGTGCAGGCAGTTTAGTAAGAATTTACAGGCACTGCGTCTGAATCTAATTAGAGTTAATGCAATGTAGCATGTTATAACTGAAGTAGATTCAAATCCCAGCAAATAAATGAAATTTACCTGCATCTAAATGGCATATTATATTCTAGACAGAACAGAAAACTGAAATCACTTTTCTGATACTTTGGTCTCATAACACTGAAATGTTACACTTGATTGTTTTTATTGGTCCTGTTTACCACAGCACTTTCAAATTGTTACATTTATGTTCAATGTGATTGTGTCATAAGTGTTGTAAGGGTATTTCAAAAGGATTTTTTTAGCATACTTGATTTTATTGTGAGGCACTGAAACAGGTTAATCACCTGAACAAAGGAAACTCTTTGAACCTGTAGCATGCCCGGACTTCATTTAATCCCAGGGTTTGACACCACCACTGCCATGCACCAGCAAAGCATTGAAAGAGCATTCGGTATAAAAACATACAAATGACACAGAAGATTTCACTTTTATTCTTAATACAGGTTGAAGCTCTCTGGTCCAGTACTCTTGGGACTTTACTGGTCCTGGATGAGGGATTTTTCTAGACCAGCAGAGGTCATTTCTGGCCCTCCTGCCACTGGCACCCTCCAACCTTGGCCTGAACACCAGCCTCCCCAGTAGCTTCCCCCCCCCTCCCCGGCCCCCTCCGTTCTCACTGCCATGGTGAGCAGCCCAGCCACCTCTATTCAGTGGGCTCCCACTGTCATGCCGGGCTGGCCAGCCACTGCTGTGTGCTGACCTCCTGCTACCACATAAGAATGGCCATTCTGGATCAGACCAAAGGTCCATCTACCCAGTATCCTGTCTGCTGACAGTAGCCAATGCCAAATGCCCCAGATGGAGTGAACAGAAATAAGTAATCAAATGATCCCTCTCCTATTATCCATTTCCAGCCTTTGACAAACAAAGGCTAGGGACATCACTTCTACCCATTCTGGCTAAATAAGTATTTATGGACCTAACCTCTATGAATTTATCTTGTTCTTTTTTGAACTCTGTTAAAGTCCTGGTCTTCATGACAGCCTCTGGCAAGGAGTTTCACAGGCTGACTTTTCGCTGTGTAAAGAAAAACTTCCTTTTGTTTGTTTTAAACCTGTTACCTGTGAATTTCATTTGGTGACCCCTAGTTTTTATGTTATGGAATCAAGTAAATAATGTTTCATTATTTACTTTCTTCAGACCTCTATCATATCCCCCCTTAGTCTCCTCTTTTCTAAGCTGAAAAGTCCTAGTCTTTTAAATCTGTCTTCACATAGCCCCCATTCATGATTTTATAGACCTCTATCATATTCCCCTTTAGTCTCCTCTTTTCTAAGCTGAAAAGTCCTAGTCTTTTAAATCTGTCTTCACATAGCCCCCATTCATGATTTTATAGACCTCTATCATATTCCCCTTTAGTCTCCTCTTTTCTAAGCTGAACAGGTGATAGCTTTCCACCTGGACTTTTTAGTCCTGGAACATCCATGGTCTTTCTGGACCATGGATGTTACTTGTCTAGAGCAGTGATCCCCAACACGATGCCCGCGGGCGCCATGCCCGCTGGGCCATTTGTGTGCGCCCGCCAAGTGCTCGGGGCTGGCCTGGCCCTGGGCACGTGGTGCATGCATCGTGCCGGAGCCAGCCCAGGCGTATGGTAAGCACCGGCCCCGGGAGCGCCGCAAATTGGCCGCTCGTGTCCCGGGTGCATGGTGCTTAGGAGGAGTGCTGGTCCCGGGCGCGCGGCGCTTGGGGGAGGGGGGCTCGCCGGGCGCGTGTGTCAGCCGACGGTCAGGGCAGGGTGTGTGTGTCTGTTTCCGAGAAAAGGTTTAACGTCCGTGCCTTTACTGCTAGGACCGGGGTCCCATCGCAGAGGGTGGCCAGCAGGCCAACAGACGCCCCGTTATATAGGAAGAGCTTATTACATCTTAGATTTCAGCTGCTAGAATTTCATAATTCCTTCGCAGCGGGCAGC